AAAATTCTCTGCCATAGGAGGAGAGGACCACTGCCTTAAAAGGGTAAATCAACTACCAAGAACAGTTAATAGTGCCCTCTGAAATGATATTTTTTCTATACAGTTTCGCTTACCGGTGCCGCTGGAGCAGTGGTTTCCCCCGGAATCGTGGGGAAACAACCAGGACTTTAAAGCTTGTAGCGCAGCGTCCAGGGGTTGTGTCTTCCACCTCCTTCCATGGCAGCAGGAAAAGAAATTTAACACTGTTTGGAAAAGGATCTGTCATCCCCTTCACTGCAAATACATTTTAAGTTGGGATACTGCCATTTGCTCAACTTGCTGAGCAAAAGGAGAGTCTGCACACTCCAGGTGTACATTTGAGAGAAACAGATGCACACAGGCAACCAGGGAAATGGAGAAAACAAAAGGTTGGAAAGGTAGTTAGGATACTGGTCTGTATCTAACCATGCAGTTGCAAAGATTTGTCTTTAGTTAATGTATAGGTCCTTCTTCCTCTTCGACAACCGTAACTGAAGGCAGGTAACAGCAAACAACTCAGTATTAACCAATAAAGAATAAAGCATTATCAAAACAATTATCAAAACACAGCACCAGCAATACACACACACCAACATTCAGCAGACCCACAAAGTACCAGACCAAGTCCTTGCTTGGAGAAACAACAACTGAGTAGTGACACGATCGAGGTTTACAAAATAGGTTTAAAAAAATAGAGGTTTACAAAAGAGAAAGTACCTTTCTCCCTTTCTGACGATACAAGAACTTGTGGGCACTCAATGAAATGAATGAGCAGTAGGCTTAGAACAGATCAAAGGAAGTCCCTCTTCACCCAAAGAGTAAGTAACATGTGGAATTCACTGCTGCAGGAAGTGGTGGCGGCTACAAGCACAGACAGCTTCAAGAGGGGAAGATAAACAGATGCAGCGAAGAGCTAGGCGGAAGGGAGCGGATTCTCCTCTCCTGGTGGAACTCCTCCTTTTGCACGGGTGTTGGCTTGAGGGAAGAGGCCCTTTGGACTTGCACTTGAATCTCATTTGTTACGGGCTAATTTTATACAGGGGGACTCTCCTCTTGTGCACGTGTGCGTGTATGTGTGTATCGGGGAAGGCCATTCAGATACGGCTTCCTTTATGATCCCATGCCCACTTGTAAGGGACGTTTTGTGAATCGCTTTGAAGGCCCCTTTCAAACAGAAAAGATAAAAATATTTAATATAAAACAGACATTTTACTTGTCTGACTCACGAAAGCTCCTGCCCTGGCACAAATTTGGTTAATCTTTAAGGTGCTCCTGGACTCTTGCTCTTTTCTACAGCAGCAGGTTATGGGTCAGGGCACATGAACGAAGTCTACTAGTTGCCACTTTCCTCTGTAACCTTGTAGGAGATGCTGAGAACACAGAACTATTGGAAAGGCACTAATAGGGCAAGCAGATGCAGTAAGGGGCTAGGCGGAAGGGAGCGGATTCTCCTCTCCTGGTGGAACTCCTCCTTTTGCACGGGTGTTGGCTTGAGGGAAGAGGCCCTTTGGACTTGCCTTTGAATCTCATTTGTTACAGGCTAATTTCATACAGGGGGACTCTCCTTTTGTGCACGTGTGCATGTATGTGCATATCTGGGAAGGCCATTCAGATACGGCTTCCTTTATGATCCCATGCCCACTTGTAAGGGACGTTTTGTGAATCGCTTTGAAGGCCCCTTTCAAATAAAGGTAAAGGTTCCCTTGCTCGAAAGCCAGTCGAATCCGACTCTAGGGTTGCGGTGCTCATCTCCGTTTCCAAGCCGAAGAGCCAGCGCTGTCCGAAGACGTTTCCGTGGTCATGTGGCCGGCGTGACTAAACACCAAGGCGCACGAAACGCTGTTACCTTCCCACCGAAGTGGTACCTATTTATCTACTTGCAATTTCTTGCTTTCGAACTGCTAGGTTGGCAGTTTCAAATTGAAAAGGATAAAAATATTTAATATAAAATGGACACTGACTTGTCTGCGGGAATTTGTGGTGGTAAAATCCCAACTTTCACGTACCAGAGTAAAAGACACTCTCTTTGTCCCTGAGACTACTCTGTCCTAAAGCTTTTTCCTGCCACATTCTCAACTGGGAGAGACTTTTCAGGAAGTCTTGGGACTAGAGTGGTCCAGCAGGACGACACCTTGTAGAGTGGGGAAAATGCCTTCCGTTTCCTTCAACTCTATGGAGAGGAGCTCTTTTTCCCCCTTCTGATCCATCTCCATTTGGCCTGCAGTCAGACCTGTTCCAAGAAGACCTGTACCCCGACACGACTGGCCCGGACTCTGCCCTGACGGCGGAAGAATGGCTCTCAGGGAAGAACGCCGACCCCATCCTCATATCACTCAAGGATGGTTACACTCCTCAGAAGACCAGAGAGTTCAAGGTCAACAAGAACCTCCTGGAAGGGCCAAAGAGAAGCCAGTTATCCCAGGAAAGGGCACAACAGGGGGTAAGGAAGGAGAGATCCAGAGATATTAAGGGTGGCCGGCACTGTATGGAGCACTGGGATGAGAATACAGACGGGGGAGGAGGAGGAGGTGTTGTGAGTCACCATTGAAGTTTATCCTATGACCTCTTGTAGGGTTCCGCTTTAGAGCAGCTTTCCGAGGATCTGAAGCGCCTGCAAGCCACCGTCTCTGAACAGGAACGGCGCATCTCGGAACTGGAACATCTCGTGAAGAAATAGGAAACCCTGGGCGGTGCGCTCCCAAGCAATCTGTCTCCCCATCTGTCACACCGGACTTGATTTCAGCGGTCTTTTTAAAGCCCTCCAGTCTTTCGTGGGTGGCTCCTCAGGGCATTATTAAGCTCCACCCACCCACCCTCCAAAACTCAGGGCGGAAAGCAGCTTTGGGAGGCATCGGCTGGGGTAGTTCCCCACCGCAGCTTGCCCGCCAGACCGGCTAGTCATATGCTGTGTAAATGCCTAACTATCCACTAGGAGGCAGTAAGTGGATCCGCTTGCTATACTGCTGGGAGGTCATAAAGGCAGCCTTTTCACATTCCATAGCCTTCCCCTTCCCCGAGGCTCTTGTCTCCCAGAGGCTAGGAAGGACACCTGCTTTCTCATCCTTCCCCTGCCATTTTCCCCCCAGCAAAGGACTCCTTTGTCCAGAACCCCTTCAGAAACTATCGGAGGAACATCATCTCCTTCAGTCTGGCTTTGGAAAGCAGGGCTCGCATCCTGGCAATTAAGCCGATGGCTCAATTAAAAAAAAATACATTGATAAATTAAACCTATGCCCCTAGCTGTCGAGCTGACTTTGGAAAACTTTTTAAAAAGCAAATAAATACTTCTATTTTAAAATCCCTGCAGCTGGCAAAGCCCTCTTAAAAGAGAAAAATTCTGCCCCACCCCACCCCCCGGTGTGAGAGGAGGAATGGCTCTTCCATGATGCCCAATACGTGCATCATCTCAAAATAAAACAAAAGGGTCTACTTTTTCCTTGTAGAACTATGTGGTTTTTTATAATTTGCATATTTATGCAGATGGATTAAAGAGATTTAAACAATTTGACTACAGTTTCTTTGAGTGACAGCTCTAGGTTTGACTCTTATCCCAGTGATAGTTGGGTTTTTACATTTGCAATCTCCTGTGGAGGTCTTTGAGGCAGAACAGATGACCTACCACCATTTTTCTGTACCCAAAAATCAATCCAGGGTGCTTGGCTCTTAGGCACCACTAGAGGGCAGTAAAAATAAATATATTATTCCAATATTCCCCTGTGTGACACACCAAGCCATTTCACACAGCTACTTTTTGGTGACACCAGAAGACAGTGCTCCACTCTCATTTCCAACAGTGTCCCAGGATTGGGAAAACCCCCCAACTCTCCTCCTTTTAGAGCCAGAAACAACACATTCTGTTTACCAGACCCTGAATACCCAGACCTTGCTCGGTACCAGAAGGATATTTTTTTTTCTCTGTATATTGTCAGGCTGCCAATCAGCCTCTCTTTTGGGGGGAGCTTGAATAAAGAAGAGGAGATTGGATTTATACCCCACCCTTCACTACGTGAAGGAGCCTCAGAGTGCCTTACAATCTCCTTTCCCTTCCCCTCCCCACAACAGACACCCCGGTGAGGTGGGTGGGGCTGAGAGAGCTCTTTCGAGGACTGTTCTTGAGAGAACAGCTCTGAAAGAACTTGTGACTGACCCAAGGTCACACCAGCAGCTGCATGTGGAGGAGTGGGGAATTCAACCTCGGTTCTCCCAGATTAGAGTCCACCCTCCTAACCACTGCACCAAACTGGCTATTTAAAGCCTGCAAATAGTTGCCAGCAGTGTTTCTTTGGGTCCAAAGTGGAGAGGCAGTAGGACAGCTCAATGTCCATCCTCCTAAAAGGATGTTTTAAAACACACACACAGTCATGCTAGAAGAGAAGGGATCATACACACTTATTTCCACGCTCTTCAACCAAATCCATTTCCAGACATTTCCATTAAAAATTCACTATGGACTTTTAATATGTAGGTATTGAAAAACCCTCACCCACCAGACAGAGCCAAGAGACATGCCTCATATACCCAGGAAACCATTTTTATTTGCTGCCGCATGCTGTCTTTCAAGTCCTCCTAGCACCCCCACCCCCAGGAGGGTAGGCTAGTGCTCTGGACGGGTCCCACATCTGCATCATACATTCATCCCACTGCTGTCTCTCCCTCCTCTTGAGGAGCTATTCCGGACTTCCTGTTCAAGGAGAGTTCAGTTCTCACTTGCCTTCTTGCTCTTTCGCCCACTGTTCCGGCGTCAGAGTTCGCTGCTCAAAGGCATGGATGTGTTTCAGCTCCTCCGCTAAGACTTCATTGACCAGCCTGGGCAGGGGAATGGGGAGAAGAGAGAGTGGAAGGGTTGAAATGGGGAGATTCTCCTGCTTCTAGATAGACCCTGTGTCAGCCATACACGTTTCCCCATCTCCATCTGGGTCACTGGCAGCAACGGCAACCAAACATGATGAGGCAGACAAACATTAAAGAGGCCACGTGGATCAGGGCTGGGTGGATTCTATCCAATCAAATTTGTGTTGAAATGTGCAGAGCCTATTGTGCATAGAAAAGAAGATGACAAGAACATCCTACAAGGGCAACTAGCTAGCATAGTGAGATGCATCCTGCTATTTTTAAAGAATCTCCTTCCTGTCTCCTGATTGGCTCAGTTAAGCTTTTCCTGCTCCTGCTGAGAGCTGCTACTTGACTCTCTCCTAGCCAGTTAGACTTCTCTTTCTGTCTCCTCTTTCTGATAAAGTTAGTTTCCTCCTTAATACCCCTACAGCTTGTGCTCCACTTTATTGCATATCTACACTCTGCCAACAATTTGAGCATGCATATAAAGATGCATGTGATTGGTTTTCAATGCAACATTTGCTGGTTGAGCATTGGTGATGGTACAGGGTGGTGTAGAAGGAGCAGAAATCAGGACAGCCACAACTGTGACACCTTTGCTACTGCATTTAAAGTATATCACTGGAGCGGCTCCGTCAAAAATAGTCATTAAGTGGAAAAGGTGCAGAAAAGGGCAACTGAACTGACCATGAAGTTGGAGAAGCGTCTGTAGAAAATGAAAAAAAGGCTGGCGCATTTGTAAAAAAAAAAAGCCGGCGCATTTTTCTCCCCTGCCCCCCCCCCCCCCCCAAGAAAGCTGCGACTTAATGGAGGAGAATTACATGGAGAGGATGAACAGCGGGTTTTTTCCTTCACTCTCTTTTGTAATATTATAGGTTTTGGGGAGGTCATCCTGTCAAAAACGATTAGCACTAATTCAGGACAGACAGAAGAAAGTACTTCTCACCAGAATAATAAGTTTATAAAATTCTCTGCCATAGGAGGAGAGGACCACTGCCTTAAAAGGGTAAATCAACTACCAAGAACAGTTAATAGTGCCCTCTGAAATGATATTTTTTCTATACAGTTTCGCTTACCGGTGCCGCTGGAGCAGTGGTTTCCCCCGGAATCGTGGGGAAACAACCAGGACTTTGAAGCTTGTAGCGCAGCGTCCAGGGGTTGTGTCTTCCACCTCCTTCCATGGCAGCAGGAAAAGAAATTTAACACTGTTTGGAAAAGGATCTGTCATCCCCTTCACTGCAAATACATTTTAAGTTGGGATACTGAGAGTCTGCACACTCCAGGTGTACATTTGAGAGAAACAGATGCACACAGGCAACCAGGGAAATGGAGAAAACAAAAGGTTGGAAAGGTAGTTAGGATACTGGTCTGTATCTAACCATGCAGTTGCAAAGATTTGTCTTTAGTTAATGTGTAGGTCCTTCTTTCTCTTCGACAACCGTGACTGAAGGCAGGTAACAGCAAACAATGATTATCAAAACACAGCACCAGCAATACACACACACCAACATTCAGCAGACCCACAAAGTACCAGACCAAGTCCTTAAGAACTTAAGAGATCTAAGTCTTCTTAAGAGGAAGCAGTGATTTCTATTGATATTCCTACCCACTGCAAACTCCACTTTGCCCCCTATGCCCTTTCCAAGTGTCCACTATCCCTCAGGGGGAAGGCCTCAGTGGATAACAAAAAGACACAGAAGATTTAAGTGCCTTAAGCCTTCTAATGTTCCAATGCAACGCAAAGCCAGGATGCAACCAAGGGCCTGTAAGAAAATATCCTAAAGGAAGTCAGGTCAGACAAAGCACCACAAGCATAGGAAAAATGTTGGGCAACTAGTAAAAGACAAGGAATGTGCAAGAAGGAGCCTAATAGCTTTTCTACGCAGGAAATATTAAAAAATGAAGATGGCAAAATGGAGCTCAAGCCCAAGACTGTGGGCAGCTGCGGCAGCTGCAAGGAAGCTGAGCAAGGCCCACTACTTCTGAGGACATGCTCCCTCTGCTCCTTCAATACACTACAGGGCGTTTCCACGTATTGGCTGGGCAAGCCGGGAAAGATGCCACAGGTTACTATCCTAGTTCCTCCGCCTAGGTTCACGCTGCATCGTTTTTTGCATGCGTCAGTCTATCATTTCTTCATTCACACTTCTGAGCTGGAACCATGCAGTTTTTAATTACACATAACTCCCTTTATACCGAATTATTTACAAGGCTTCCCGGAGAAAGAGTAGAGCCCTGAAGACTCCCCACTCGTTTTCCACACTTAAGTTTACGACCCGACTCCCTTATATAGTAGTAAGCCACATTAAACACAGTGAGCGAGACATAGGTAAAGGTTCCCTTGCTCGAAAGCCAGTCGAATCCGACTCTAGGGTTGCGGTGCTCATCTCCGTTTCCAAGCCGAAGAACCAGCGCTGTCCGAAGACGTTTCCGTGGTCATGTGGCCAGCATGACTAAACACCAAGGCGCACGGAACGCTGTTCCCTTCCCACCGAAGTGGTCCCTATTTATCTACTTGCAATTGCTTGCTTTCGAACTGCTAGGTTGGCAGGAGCTGGAACTAGAGACGGGAGCTCACTCCGTCATGCGGCACACTC